CTTGTATTTGGGGCATAAATGTTCAGAATTGAGACTTCATCTTGATGGATTTTTCCTTTGATAAACATAAAGTGCCCTTCTCCCTCTCTTTTGATTAATTTTGGACGGAAGTCTATTTTGTTAGATATTAGGATAGCTACACCAGCTTGCTTAAGCACTTAGGTCCATTTGATTGGAAAAATCTTTTTTCCAACACTTTACTCTGAGGCAATGTCTGTCTTTGATGTTGAGGTGCATTTCTTGTATGCAGTAGAGGAATAAAGCCTGTTTTTTATATCTATTTTGTTAGCCTGTACTTTTTATTGGGACATTAAATCCATTGATATTGAGAGATATCAATGACAAATCATTGCTATTTCTTGTTTTGTTGTTGGTGGCATGTGTGTGTTTCTTTCTTCTTTCTTTCTTTCTTTCTTTCTTTCTTTCTTTCTTTCTTTCTTCTTACTTTCTTTCTTTTTTGCTTATGTGCTTCCCTTCTTTTGGTTTTGCTGGTATTATTTCCTGTGTTTTCATGGGTGTAGTTAACCTCCTTGGGTTTGAGTTTTCCTTCTAGTACCTTTCAGATGGCTGGATTTGTGAATAGATATTGTTCAAATTTGACTTTGTTATAATATCTTGTTTTCTCCATCTATGGTGATTGACAGTTTTTCTGGGTATAGTAGTCTGGGCTGGCATCTGTGGCCTCTTAGAGTCTGTAAGACATCAGTCCAGTCCCTTGTGGATTTTAGTGTCTCCACTGAGAGGATGGGTGTGATTCTAATAGGTCTGTCATTATATGTTACTTGGCCTTTTCTCCTTGGATGCTTTTGATATTCTTTCTTTGTCCTGTATGCTTAGTGTTTTGATTGTTATGTGGTGAGGGGGATTTTCTTTTCTGATCCAATCTATTTGGTGTTATGTCATCTTCTTGTACCTTTATAGGCATGTCCTTCTTTAAGTTGGGAAATTTTTCTCCTATGATTTTGCTAAATTATATTATCTGCATTTTTGAGCTGGGTAACTATTGAGTCCATATATTGTTACTTGCATTTATGTTTTCAATGTTGACTGTTTGGCACTGAATAAACCAGTTGGTGCACTCTTTGCTTGGGAGGACTACCTCTCCTGTTTTCAGCTTTCCTCAGTTGCCTATAGTTTTTGTGTAGGCTCGAGGCCTCATAAGCTTTCCCCATCCACTTTGGCTGGTCTGTTAGTGGTTTCCTTGTTCAGCTCATTGGTGAGACTTCTGGATGTAACTACTGTTATTACTAGGAGACACAATCTTATAGAAAACTCCCTGATCCTCTGGCTCTTATAGTCTTTCTATCCCCTCTTCTGAAATATTCTCTGAGCCTTAGGTGTGGCAGTGTTTTGTAAATGTATCTAACAGTACTGGATGCACAACTGCATGGTGATTGGATATGGTTTCTGCAAAGGTCTCCATCTATTGCAAAGACAAGTTTCCTTGAGGAGGGGACACTTATCTGTGGGTATAAGGACAAATGTTAATAGATTGCTCATAGGGATTGTGCTGTTTAGTAAATCAGTGGTTGTGGGTTCTATTCCTGTAACCAGACTTCACTAGCACTGAGTTCAACTAGAGAGCTGTTGGTTACCACCAAGGTATGCATGCCACTACTGCACCCTAGTGTTATTTTGCCATGCTGGTTGTCAATGTGGTTCACAGGTATCCTCCCTCCTTTGGAAGCTCATATCATGCCTTATGGTATCATGAAAGATAGTCCTCTGGGAGGAGACTTTGAGTTCCAGTTCAGGAGTTTCTGGGCTCTGTTTCTGAAGTGAATGGTGTCCTCTAGTGGGTAACCAAGGGTAGCATCAAAAGGCTGTATGTTTTGAGAGTCTCTTGAACAGTCTTGGCAAACAATTCAAGAGAGGGCTTCTCATGTGTGGTACTGGAGTTTTTAATAGGTGGTCTTTGGCTCTTGGTGGGAGTATCATCAGCCTAGATGAGAAAGTATCATTAAAATATATACATTTATGCATGGAGTTATGTGTATTAAATTTTTTTTTAAATAGTTAATAGCATGAGTTCTGTGGCTTTTCTAGACATCCTGTTTTTACTTTATCCATCTCCTCCTTCTGTATTTACTTCTCCATCTTTCCTAAAGAGTTTCCTTCCCTTTTCCCCTCTCAAATCATTTGTTTCCTGCTATTCCCCTTTATTATCTTCCCCCTTTTCTGTATTTACTTCTCTCCCCTTCCCCAAGGAGCCCCATTTTTTCCTATTTCCTTGATCAGGTCACCTGTACCCTGTCATTCTCCTCTCTACTGATTCCCAACTTCCTTATCCTGGCAACGGTCAAATACATTTTTAAAATTAAAACATTTAATTATATTATTTCCTTCATTCTCTTTCCATCTCTAGCCCCTGTCATGTTCCCTCACTCTAATTGCTCCCATGTTTCCCTGCTCTCAAACTGATAGCTTCTTTTCATTTGGTATACATATGTGCATACATACATATATATATGCAAACTTCTGAGTCTGTTTTTGGTTTTTGTCTGTGTGTGCATGGGGGGGTTCAGTGCTGACCATTTTGTATTGGGTAACCAATTAGTGGCCTCATAGCTTGGAGGAACTAATTTTCTTAGCAGACATTAGTTGTTGACCCCATGTTATTTTCCATTTTCTGTGTTAGTGTGTCTATTGATATTGTAATTCCTTAGTTTGCCACTTAATTTTTGATAATAAAAGGTATTTTTCTTTAAGAGACTTTGGCTGAGTGGCAGTGGTACATACCTTTAATCCCAGCACTCGGGAGGCAGAGGCAGAGGCAGAGGCAGGCAGATTTCTGAGTTCAAGTACAGCCTGGTCTACATAGAGAAACCCTGTCTCAAAAAAACCAAAGTGGAGGTGGAGGACTCTGACTGGATTTCTTTCATTAGTATTATATTTCAATGTCAGGAGAAGGCTACTCATTCCCTAGCCTGTCAGTCCTCTCTTTGGAGGCTGCTATTGGTAATACATATCTTTCTAGAAATATTCTTTTATTCAGAGCTATGCTAATACTCAGTTTTACTTGGAAACACACATGGACAACATTGTGTTGTAACTGTCCATTTTGTGACTTTTATTTGCTTTAGTATGTCATTAGAGAGTACTGATATCAATACACACTTTGCACAGTATTCCTTTATTTAATCTTGTTTCCTCTTGATGGGCATTTTGATTGTTAATATCTAAGTGTAATAACAATAGAACATTGTTATGAATATCCTTACATGTGTATGTAAGCATATATTTTAAGTAAATTCCTAGCAGTGGGATTGTTGGATCAAAGGCTATTGTTTAAGAGCTATTGTGGGTTAGTGGGCTGGCCTTTCTGATACAGTCCTATAATTCAGGTCCATGGAGGTTGAGACAAGAGCATCTTGAATTTAGGGTCATTTTTTTGTGCATATGGGGGGCTATGTGATGAGACTCTTGCACAAAATAAATAAATAAAGATGTCACTAACTCTTGTGGTAAAAATGTTCCCATTTTCCTCCTTTTCCTTGCTGATTCCCGTTGGCCTGTAAGGCCTTTTACATGGGCTTGTAGATGCTCTCTAGGCACTGTGGCATAATTGTTGCCTATACATATTACTATTACTTTATGCTACTTGCTATTTTTCTTATCACTTTGCTTACAGTATTCAATCATGTAGAATTAATTTTGTATGTGTGTATTTATGTAGTGTACACACATATGTGTATTCATGTATGTATACCAATTTGCATGTTTGGTTGTTTGAATGAGAATGGCCCCCATAGGCTCATCGAGCCCCATTTGGAGGAACTGTTTGGGAAGGATTAGTATGTTTGGCCTTGTTGGAGGTGTGTTGTGGGGCTGGTCTCGATGTTTCAGCCTCCTGTCATCTCCACTATGCTGCTTCCTATCTGTGCTGCAGTGTGGTATGAGCTGTGATGGTGCCATGCCTTCACTTCATTGTCATGGAATCCAAAATGCTGGAACCCTGAGTCCAATTAATCAGTTTCTATTGCAAGTTATGTTCATCTTAGTGTGTTGTCACAGTGATAGAGAAGTAATGAAACAGGGTGTATGAAAATGGATGTACATGTATGCTGGGAGATGACTGGTGATATTAAATATCTTCCTTGATTCCTCTCCACTCCATTTATCAGGGCAAGCTCACCAATTCTGGTGACTCTGGCTAGCCAGCTTGTCCCGTGGATGCCCTTTCTCTGTCACTGGGTTGGGACTACAGGACGCCACCGCATCTGCCTCATGTTTTCGGCATTCTCAGGATTCAAATTCCAGTCTTCATGTTTATGCAATGCTTTACCCACCCAGACATCTCCCTAGCCACTTGTTTGCCTTTTTTAAATTAGTGATTTGTCATTTTTGTGCTGTGTGTATTTGCATATTTTTGTAATGTGTGTCAGTAGCTTCTAATTCAAGCAATAAAAAACTGGGACTATTATTATTGTTATTTGGTTTTTCGAGACAGGGTTTTTCTGTGTAGCTTTGGAGCCTATCTTGGCACTCGCTCTGGAGACCAGGCTGGTCTTGAAGTCACAAAGATCCTCCTGCCTCTGCCTCCCGAGTGCTGGGATTAAAGGTGTGCACCACCAACGCCCAGCAAAAAACTGGGATTATAAAAATGAATTCAGTTCTAGTGCTTCTGTGTCTAAACTTTTATTCTCCCTGCTATTTAGTTTATTGTAATGAAAAAAGAAGTTAAAAATTTTCTATGCAGCCTGTTTTTATGAAACATGTTAAAGATAATCCATCCCCAGTGATACTGTGGTTTATTCTCTGAGTTTCTATTTACCTAGTCTCTTGCTGTTTATGTAGTCAGGTACTGAATATTGTATAGTCCTAGTTCCCATTTCTCTGTAAACTGTCTAAATCTGTTCAGCTCTTCTCAAACTTTTATTGCATTGTATGTATTTTTAATTTAAGCATCCTTTTTCTCCTCTTTGGAGTTTGTTTTTTTTGAGACAGAGTTTCCTTTATTGTATCTATTTAACCCCAATGAAAGAAATTATTCCTTATAGCTGCGGATAAATGGTGAAAAATTAGAAGAACTTTTATCTGAAAGAGCTGTGCAATTTCGGGCCATCCAGCGCCGGCTTCTAACAAGATTCAGAGATAAGACACCTGCCCCACTCCAACACCTGGACACCCTGCTAGATGGAACGTACAAGCAGGTCAGTGTCATATCGGCAGCAATTGTCTATTACTGGTGTCTTTCCAGAAATGTCTTATAGATTACATTTGTAAGGAGATGATTTGTGAGGGTGAAAGAACACACGAAGAGCATCACACTGCTTGTGTCTGTGCACCTCTCTCCCCTCTCTGTATGCACTAGGGACATTCCCATGTGGGTGAAGAGGTCTGTTCCTTTTCAGTGGTTACAGGGTGTTTTACAGCACAGAGTCCTGCAGTATAGATGAACCACAGTTGATAAAAAGAAATATCTCACCATTTAAAAAGTAGCCTTTGTTAATTTCATACATGATATAATGAAATGTAATTATATCCACCACCTGCTTTCTCAGTCCAACTCCCCTTAGGCCCCATCAACACATCTTTCTCCTTCATGCCCTCCTCTTATTTATTTATTTATTTATTTATTTATTTATTTATTTATTTATTATTAGTTCAAATTAGGAACAAGCTTGCTTCATAGGTCAATCCCTTCTCCCTCACCCTCCCCTTCCCCCAATCCCCCAATGCCTTCCTCTTAAAAAAATAATCTATTAGGTCTGATTAGTGTTGCCCAAATGTGCACAGCTTTGGTGGCACCCACTGGCCCGTGGACAACCTAATCATAACCACATCCCCAAAGAAGGATGACTCTCCTTTCCCTCAGCTAGCCCCTCCTCCATTTGTGCTGGAGTTCTGACTGGTGTGTTCTTGTCCAGGACTTGTGTAGAAAACCACAGCTACTGTGAGTTCATGAGTGCAACAGCTATGTAATGTTCAGAATACAGCATTTCATATATTATTTCCACTTTCTTTTCCATGATACACCCTGAGCCTTATGGGGCAGGGGAAGGAGATGGGTTGATAAAGATCCCATGTAGAGCTGAGAACTCACAGCATTTTGGCCAGCTATGAGTATCTGTGTTGAGTGCTGCCTACTGCAAATGAAAGTGTGTCTGGCCAAAGTTGAGTACATCCCAGATCTATGGGTATAAACATAAATATTTAGAAGGCAATTTCACAATATGGCCATTTGCCAAAATAACAATAGTGTGTTCTGCACTAGGGCTTATGACCTCCGTAGCAAGGGGCTTTTGACCATGTTTACAGTAACAGGCATGAACTTTCTGTGGAACATGCTTTAAATCCAATCAGAAAGTGGTTGGTTACTCCATAGCAGTCATGCCACCATTGTTCCAGTGGGAACTTCTTGCCTATTAGGTTGATGCTGTGTCACGCAGGATCCAGTACTAGGAAAAGTCATTCATGTCCTTTATCCCACAGAATCCCTTATAGCAACTTCTGGCACTGTGAAAACTAACTAGCAGGGAGGAGGTTTTCTGGTCAGTTTGGGATAGAGTCCTGTCTTTCCTGCAGTCAAAAATGGATGGTATCTTCAGCAATGGGGTCTTAACATATAGTTATGTGGGTAACTACAGGCAATGCCAATAGTCTGTGTTGTTTTGGAGACTGCTGGGATCTTCCTGAACAATAATAGTTCAGAGGGAGGTATCTTCTGCTTGACACTGAAAAGCCATAGTACCTTCAGGGTTGAGTCTGACCCTGAGGAAAATCCCTTTGCATAGGTCTACTTGGATCTAACATACCTCAGTGTCTCACATGTATGTTTAGTCAGCTGGGTTCTTTGCCTAGTCTCCAAACATGATTTTCTTCGTAGGTTAAATAAACAAGTAAAGGATCAGTCTACACTAAAGCCTCATTTTACTCTCCACGGCACAACTATTCTATGACTATAAGGTTCATTGTTTTTAGGTAAGATCTCATTTTGTAGCCCAGGCAGATCTCCAAAGTTAATGTTCCTCCAAAGTACTTGTATTATAGATGTGCACCAACATGCATGATGTGTTATTAGATCTTTACAGTGTTTTCCTGTTATAGCAATTTGAAATTAGATCTGTTACCCTTTTGGAGTTCTTTCTTTCTCATGAAGCATGCTTTCAGTTTTGTTGATCCTAGTGCCATTTTGACAGTCTCAGCAGCAGTCAGAGAAGAGCCTTGAGCTGTCGATTGAAATGTGTGCTCTCTCCCCTTGACACCTGTGTCTGGGTGATTCTCAGGTGTCTCTGTTTAAGGAAGCAGTGATAATATTCTTGTGTGAATACAGAGGAAGAAACAGCATTTTTCTTAAATTACAGTGTTTTTTCCCCATTGTGTTCGCAGTGTAGTATATGTCTCCACACAGTTAATATTTATTCTATGAATGACCATTCTCTTGCCATTTATAAAGACAAATTTTTTCAAACCATCTTTTGATGAAGGCATCATTACAAAGAAGAAAACAGAAAACTTTTTTCATGGTTGTGTTATTTTAGCATGTTCAAAAGGTGCTGAGAGATGGAATTTTTTTTTTCTATATGGCATAATTGGAGGACTCAGGCAAACTGACATAGCCATGAAGGTTGTACAGCTGTAAATTCTTGGCAGAGAAAATCTGTTCTGCTTTTGTTTTAGTGAGGTTGTGTGTGCTGTAGGTAATGGTGAACCAGTCTTCTGTTGAAATGCCTCCATGCAGATGGGACAGAAGCGTGACGAGTTTTGATTTTCATTTCCTTTATCGGAACTATTGAGCACTATTTTATAGAAGGTAATTTTTTTTCTCCCTTAAAACACATATTCGAACTGGGATTGTCATGTAAAACAATCTTGTTTCTAATTCAAATAAAAAAAATCTGAACCCCCCCCCACATATTCCTTTAGGGCCTGTGGGGTGGTTCATTTGGTAAAAGATCCTGATGGCCTGATCCTGATGGCCTGAGTTTGATCTCAGAATCCATAGTGAGAAGAGTGAGCCCCTTCCTGAACATTGTCCCCTGAACTCTATACTTGGGAGTCATGCGAACCAGGTGTGAGGCCCCACAGTCATATTGTACCTGCATTCAGGAAGCTGAGAGAGTTGGATGCTGGTGATCAACTCACTGCCTTGCTCTCCCTTTTTGTTCAGTCTAGGACTTAGCACATGAGATCTATTCACATTGGGGGGTGAGTCTTCCCTCATTAATTAAGTCTCTCCCGGGACACCTTCGCAGACACCAGAGGTGTCTCCTGAGTGATTCTGAATCCAGCCACGTTGACAATGACCTTTACCCATCACAGGGCTCGGGATGGATCTCTGACATATTGGAATATGAGAATTAAGGACTCTGTGCCCAGTCAGTCTGCCTGTGATCTACGTCATTCATTTACTTCTTTCAAACTGTGATCTCTGGCAAACTACTTGGAACAATCAAAAAGAAGATGAGACTTACTTCCAAAAGCCTCAGTCTCCCCACTTATAGAATAATGGTATACCTAGCATATCCTCTATGGAGTTGTGACTGTGTACATATATAAACACATAAATTGCTTTGAGTAGTACTTGGTATACAAGATCTCAACAAATTTTAACTGCTTGTGGTAAATACTCTTGGTAGTCATGTGATTATTTTTTTATGCCATCTCAAACATGGTGCTATTAATTGATCAGCAAAGGAAATTACAGTAATATATCATCTTTCTGGGACTATGCTATATGTCAGTCTTACAAATTAAGACCTTAAGTAAGAATGATGAAAACCTTGTATACTTAGGAGTGTATCCCAAAATCCTTTAAGCCAATCTTCCCAGAAGGTTTTTGGCTACAGAGAAGGTACAAAAAGGAAGGGGCATTGTCCCGACCTGCAGGATGTCAACCTGGGGCAAGAGTGTCAGGGATAGGGAATGGGGACAAGAGACACAGAAAGAACGACCACAAGACAGGATTCTGATCAAGTGGCAAACTTTACTTTTCTCAGGCTAGCTTATATAGTCGGCAGAGCAGGATATGGGGAGGCGTAGAATGGGTTGTTTGTGAGCCAGGTGTTAGTATAGGCAGGATATTAGGAAGCCACAAAAAGGATGTTTGGCAGGGTAAAGAGTTTATGAGTAAGAGGTCCAGGAAGGGTTGCCCAGGTTGACTGAGCCTGTGGGTGGAGGACTGGGTCAAATTGTTTCTTTTCTTGAGCTGAGGGTCTAAGAAGCTGCTATGTAAAGGTTAACTATGTGGCCTGCCAAGCATGGCCTAGGATCTCATGCCAAGCCCTGAAATTTAGCTCCCAACAGGGCATAAGGCTTATGAACCCAGGTGGCTGACTTCTGATCATTTTGTTTCCAAAAAAATTTGCTTCAAAACAACACACACACACACACACACACACACACACACACATGCATACACACATGTACACACACTCTCAGTCTCATTTGCAGAACTATTATACTAAATGGTAATTTTACCATCAAATAGAAGCTTTCTGTCCTTCTCCCTTCTTTTCCCTCCCACTGCCTTTTTCTGGATAGCCAGATCCAGAAAATAGAATAGAACCTAGGTTGGGAATAGAAGCTAGGGCCTTGTGTATACTAGTCAAGTACTTTATCACACAGCTATATACCCAGCCACAAATGCCTGTTGTAAAGGTATCCATGCTTGTTTGGGTCACTATAATTTTTAACCGATGGGTCACTGGGATGCCATTTTACTCTTTCTTTCTTTCCTTGCTAACCACTGTAGCTGAGCATTTTTCAGATTTTATGTGGTTATTTGTGGTTTGTGTGTGATTTACGTCACATGTGCCTTTTGTTCATTATTCTATCAAGTTGTTCATGTTTTTCTTCTGATGAATACATTAGTAGTAATTTTTATGATTGCTTCATTATACATAAAGTACTTTAAATGTAAATCTTTCTTGCAATGTGTATAAAAGGTTAATCTTTCATGCAATCATATGTAAAAAAAAGTTTTACAAAGTTTTCATTTGCTTTTTTGTTTTAATGTCTTTTTAAAATTGTTTGTTTATTTATTTGTATTGTATATACATCATTGCTTTGCCTGAAAGTATGTTTGTGTGAGGGTGTCAGATCCACTGGAACAGGAGTTATAGCCAGTTGTGAGCTGCTTGGACTTGAACCTGGGACATTTGAAAGAGCAGTCAGTGTTCTTAACCACTGAGACATCTCTCTAGCCCAT